AGGCAGGCCAAACAGTTGGCAATCTTCTGGGCATTTTGCCAGAGAGATTTCAATGAGCATCCTTTACAAGGCTTTCGTACGCTAAGTCCGTCATCCTCTAATATTTCATTTGGTATATAACTACTTGTTACGTTTGAGTAACACTTATTTATGAAAGTTAGAAAAAAATCGTTAAGTACTGCCAATAGTTCGCAGGGTTGCGGAAACCGAGGTAGCAACGGCCATATTACAAGATCAATATTCTTTTATGGGCCCGTTATAGATGATTTAGAGAAACCACTATGCTCAATAATTAAGCGAATGGCAACCCTGCCGCAGGTGTCAAAGCTCAAGCTCAGTTGACGAAAAGATAAATGAAGTTAGTATCGGATGATTTGGTCGTAATTTGAGTCGGTCAAAGGTCAGGCCTGTCGTTTCTCACCACGACAACTAGATCCTCAGAAGTTGCAGGTAATGTTGAACAAAGAAAGGGTCAGCATCGGAAATATATGAGAAAATGGCACTAAGTTTTACGGTCATACCCTGAGTGGGGTAAAAGAAAAAACAGCACGTTTCTTTCCCACATTAGTAAACAAAACCACTGTGACTATATATGCTAGTTGCATACCTAAGATGAAATGTAATCTCTTCGCCCCTAGGCTCACTTTGAGACGCATCACGTGCACTCAGTCGCCATCTGCAGTCTCTGTGGCCTTTGGTTTACCTCCAAGTCCCTCTTTGCCGCCCACGCAATGGAGGCCCACGTGCGTAGGACAGAGAGAGCTGCCAGTCCACGCAGAACAGGCTGGATCACGGGTGACCGGCTCAGAGATGCAGCATCCAGTCTCTCGGAGTCCAACTTTCTCGACCCAGTTGTTGCCTCAATCCTCCTCAGTGGTCTTCTGCTCTCCACCTCTTCACAGACGCTTCGGCTGTTGCCCTACATACGCGACAGTTTCGCCTCAACAACAGACACACTGCCGCGGAAACCGCAAGCGACCGCAGGCGCCCGTGAAGCTTCGGAGGCTGTGAGACCAATATCCTCGCCAAAGCCTATTGAGCAGCGGTCAGAAGAGGTAAGCGAGCAGTCTAA